TATGTAAAACCCAGACCTAACTAAAAAATAAAAATTGTCACAGTATGTAACTCAATTTAAAATAACACTTTTCATTACTCATGCAGCTCAATCAAATATTATATTCATTCAGTTATTTTAAACGACCCATAGTATTAGCATGGTAACATCAATGTATTTTCAAAAATTAGACATGCGACGTTCTACAAAACGTTGTTTTGTAGACGTTTATCTGTGGATGACCTTTTGACCTGAATTCTGATGAGATTTTCGGGTCGATTCAGTCGAGACGGCCCGAGTGGATTTTCATGTAAATGTTTCGTACGGAAAAAAATCGCGGCCTGGCGTGCCACCGTGTTTAACTTTTTTAAGCCGGGGTTTAATCGTTGCGAGGGGTCTTGCATTGACTTCGGGTAACAAAATGACCAATCAGAATTCAATTACTTACGCTGTGAGCGAGCGTACGTTTCGCGAGCAATGTTTTGAAACACGTTTGCTGGTACGATTCATTATTATGAAAATTCTCGCGCCTGCTTATCCCGCTAGTCTGAACGCCTGCCAAAGTTAAGCCGGGCTTAGCGTTAAGCCGGGCTTAACTCAAGCCTGGCTCATCTCCAAGTCTGAACGTAGCCTCAGTAATTGATGCAAGTACTTTATGTTTACTTAGATAAAATTAAATCAAGTTTGGATATCGGCAGATAATGATGATAATAATAATAATAATAATAATAATAATGATCATGATAATAATGATAATAATAATAATAATAATAATAATAATAATAATAATAATAATAATAATAATAATAATAATAATAATAATAATAATAATAATAATAATAATTGTAATGCAATCGTTATAGTTCTTGATTAGGGTTGATGGCATCTCCAGTTACAAAAATATTATGATAAATAAGCCTGATTATACGGTGTATCTATGTTGCTTGAACCCGTCAAAGCCGCCGACTGGGGACACCTGTTGGTTGGAGCATGGAGGGAGCAACTCAAGACCTCACAAAACATAGCTCAACTATTGTGATGACAAGATGTATAGAAATGATTTATTGGAGTGATGTATTTCATACCGTATTTTGTCTGGAATCGTAGTAGGATATTGAATGTAGGCCTATCTAACTATAAGCTAACATTCCACCTAACGAATACCAATAACTTTATGTGTGAAGGAGAGTTGGGGAGGCCCAATCGATTACGATTAATATACAATACAGTACCCAATTCTAAATAACAATCATAAGGTGCTTTACAAAATATTAATAATATTAGGCCTATAATTATTATCGTATATATTGTTATTATTTATAGCTGGATAGCTGGACCATTAATAATAGGTAGGCCTAATAATTCCATCATCATCACTCTCATTATCAGTATCACCACCACCACCGCCATTTTCATCATCATCATCATCATCATCATCATTTATCATATTAATCCAGGCCCGTAACTATAGACTTACTGATTAGAAAGGGAGGGCATTAGCGTTTTCAGAGGGCCCAACTACCAGGAGGGTACCGTACTTAGTCCGACCATGGGGCTGAGATGAAAAAAGAAAACTCGAAAAACTCGAAAATATAACGTTCAGACCTTAACAAATGTTATTCAAAGGGTCTTAATTTGACAAGACATTCAATACCTCAGCACCTCAGAAAAAAATGTAGCAAATGCCCGCAAACATCGTTCAAACACTTCAAATATTCATTTTAAAGTGTCTTAAATTGACATTAAGTCATTAAATAGGATAAAATTGGGGAAAAAATCGGAAGAGGGATGGGCAAGTATATAAGGCGCCGCAATCCCACCATTGTTGGGGTAAAAAAATAAAATAAAGATGCTGCAAATCTATACGACCGACAATAGCCGAGCGGATAAGGCAGAAGCGCCACAACCTGCAGCCATAATATGGGCGCTGGTTCGAACGGCACGCTCGCCTATGACTATGGTTCTGGTGGTAGAAGAAATCTCGGATAAGGACTATAAACCGTAGTGTACACAATTGGCGCAGGTTCACTTCAAAGAACCAAAGTGTAAATCTTTCGAGACAGTAGGGGTTTACCCTGGAGTATGGCCCATACAACTCCTGCCACCACACCATGTCGTTATGGATCCCTTGCATGATGTACGGTCGTAACCATAAACTAACCTAATCCTGAAGTAAAAGCTACCCCTAACCGGGCAGTATCCCGGTTATTTCTGATTTTCGGTTTAGGTCCAGAATATGATCACTTATGGAAATAAACATGTTTACTCTAGATATCTGTTGCTCATATGTTTTTATTTTGTACACACTCAGTTACTACTTAAATTGTTAAAGGGAAGGCCAAAATATCATCTTCATCGTTATTATTACGGTCAATAATAATAAAATATTGATTGTAAGCAATACGTTAACGTTTTTATTATTTATATTATTATTCTTCGACATTGTCATTATTACAGTTTTATTATTGTTATCATTGTTGCTGTCCATCACCTTGGTGATAATGTGTAATTATAATATTAATAATAATGATAACTATGTAGATAATAATAGTGATGGTGATGGTGGATGATTATGATAATTATAATGATAATAATGACAATGATGGTGTGATGATGATGAAAACAATAAAATGATATAGGAATTTGTGATGCACAATTTACCTTGAGATGAATGCGTTGAAAAATTGTCCTTATCATCGCTTTTGTTATTATTAATAATCACATATCAATTACATTACACATTATATAATGTATAACGTTTAAATTATATGTATTACTATTAGTCCTATCATTATCATCATCGTCATAATGAGACCTAATAATGTTGTGATAATGTGAATTATAGTGATAATGGTAACGATAATGGTAACGATTCAAAATAGTATTAAATCAAGTCAGTCGTCATTTCCCCTAGTCTAGAGTAATATGATAATTTATTCGAAAATACTTTTCTCACTAAACATGATACAGCAAAGCAATCCCTTCTTGTTTTGATTTGAGGAGCAACGATTCCATACAAGTATAATTACAAAAATCCATAAACACTCATTAAGTAGTAATAGGCCTTCTTGGTATAAAATATGTTGACACTTTTTCAGAATACGTTTCTCATTCGTTTGTGGTTACAAAGATATTGCCGAGTCATGGACATTTTTTCTGATACAAAATTGACCAAAATAACTAAAGTATTTTTTTATTTTAGTTTTCCGTGCTACCCTATACAATTTTTGCTTAAAAATGTGTAACTCATTTCTGCACTAACCGCGTGCTTCTATTTTCTGTGAACATCGAAATGTCGTTGCGGAAATTTCTGTCAGAAACTCGACGATCCGTGAAGATGTTGCCAGGAACATTCTAACCACATAACGACGTACATAAAACTGAATTTTAAAATACTTTTCTTAATGCAGCGTACGTCTAGACGTTCCGGCTTTCTTTAATCAGCGATGCCCCATTCATAAACATTATAGTTTAAATATTAACGGTTCCATTTCTGCTTAATCGACTATTTTGCAATTGTACTGTAAGTTTGTAACTCTCATTACTGTTTACCCAGATCAACTTGTTCAATTTTTGCCTTATAATTGTAACTCGCATAATTAGTGTCAGCATAATTTTCTTTCCACTTTGAACAATCAATATTTTGTTTACATTATTATAGTTAATTTTATTCTTTGAAGAAAATCCTTACCGGTACTATTCTTACCACTCTGGAGTACTTTAAAGTTAACGCGATTTATGTTTCATCTGATATACTATTGTATTGCAGTTCTCTATCTATAGTAAATCAGATCCTGTTCTTGTAATCAACAGTAAATGACAGTATTTCGTAACCCCGGGGCTTTACCTATTTTATGTCATATGCTGGTCACGTGACATTGAACTTGCATCGTTCCTAAATTTTACCAAAGGCGTAAAAGGACTATTTGATTTAACAACTCTGTCAGATGTGGTGATTGCTTTATGCTGATATAGATACGAATTGAGCCAAGATGTATGCCCAATTTAAACGGCTACTCATCCAGATTCAGTTTGCAGTACGTTAGAAATGAAAAGGTAAAAGTTGTATATTGGCCTGTTATACGTCTAATGAATGACTCAATGAGTAGAAACAAAATACATCTATCGTGAATTTTGATTATTCGATCATGAGAGTAATTATCAACCTTCAAAATATGAGCAAAGATAATTGCAAAAACTCCTTTTAAAAGTAAGACAAACCGAGAGGTTGTATGATGGACGATATAAGATTCAGTTGTTATTATTTCGCGTTTGAGCTTATTAAATCAAATATTCAGTCACATACGGGACATCACTCATATGTAATTTTTCTACTGCAGTGGGAAGGAAGAAACATTATTGTAGTTCATGTGATTTATCGATTTGTCTTTTGTGTCTATCTTTCAAAAGACGGTGGCCTGTCTCTTATACACATCTAGATGTGTATAAGAGACAGATATAATATTATGTCTACAATTGTAGGCCTGTCATTTATTTATTTTTCATAGAATATTCATATTCATATTCATATACATAAAAGGGTGCAGGTAAAGCTGGACTAAAAATTATTGTATGATGGACAATTGCACACAAAGTGACAGAATATTCTTGAGGGTTGGAAGGTAGTACTACTAAGGTAGGTTGGTATTAGGGGCTCTCTTCAATAAATGAAATAATGTGATATTTCATAAACTAAGTTATTGCTAGGCTTAGGGAAAGGAGATTTAGTATTGTTTCTGACTCTTGCTGATTGCGCGCAAAATCAAATGACTCGACCGAGTGCCCATTCAGCCTAATTTACTTTTCCAGAATCGTGTATAGGCCTATGTGATGTCAATTTATTTAAAAAAAATAATATCTAAAGTTGAAGGAGAATTGTATTCTCCAGACGAGTATTAGATGATAGTGTCAATATGTTAATGGGCGCGTGATAGTTTGGTAAGGACTGCTATGTAAGAGGTTTAGAATAGGGGTATGTTGTGTATATGCACACGCAAAAACGAAACTTTTAATTTGCACCGTACCGGGATCTAACATTTATTAGAAGATGTATAAATAAATCATTTATGTTACCTTATATTATATATTATTATTATTTAGTTACATTATTCTAACGTTCTTTACACAAAACACAAAAAAACTTTATAATTTGATACTTTAGCCTGCTCACCTAATGTTTCTAGATACAATCTGAGGCCTAATATTAATTTTAGTTCAAATATACAAATTGGATGTCGCTCTTTAAGCTAGTACATCATAATCATACGGACTTAGACTACTGGTCAATTTGCTCGTCGAAGTAACCCTATACCTCTGTATGTATCTGTTGTGGTTTGTTCGTATATGGGTTCGTGTATCTGAGTACCGGGACAGAATATCAACAGATAGGCCTAGCAGTTTTGCAAATAAAAGTCCATGTAAGGGGCCTACAATCGTGCTCAGACCGAAATGACTTCAATATTGCGTCCTGGTCTAACTTCTTACCTATTAACCCTAGCTTCTTCCGAATTGGCAGACGTAGTTTGACGAAAAACTCTAATAAAATCGTCGAGAGAACTTAAAGCTACCGAAAATTATTGGTGATGAAATAGGCTTATCACCGGATTCCATACGTTTGGTGATGAAGAGAAAAATACTGGGCTTGTTGGTGAATCACTCGCATGTTTATCGTTCAATTCACCTCCCAGTCAAGACTAGCCTGATTCAGGTCATCATAAACTGCCTGCTCATTAGTATCCAGTACGAGGTAGTCCTGGAGAGGAAACACAAAATGAAAAAATGAAAAAGAAAAGAAAGTATCCTTTAAAATAAAATGACAATCATACTTTATTGATAGTGAAAAAGACAGCGTGGCCTTTGATCTAATAAACATGAACTTTATTGAAGTGATGAGTTTTTATATGCCTCGACTTCTTGATACGACTAATATATCGATGTCATTTTAAAGCGCATCGGAAATAACTGCTGTTCTGCATAAAGGCCGTGAGGTATAATTCGCAAGCGTTCGGAGTTTTTACGAGCCTGACTAGTGGCTACCATCTTTGACAAATACAGTAGTTTATGTGCCCGTAAGATAACTTATTCAAGAAATCACTATAATGTATGCATCAACCATCTCCCTGCATTAACAGTAATCTTTAACAGTTATAGTTGGTCGGTGATTAAAATTAACTATTAAGGAGATGAATAATTGGATTTAGACATCATCAAGAATTAACGTCGTTTTAACGATACAGAACTTGTTCGCGTTTTTGATATTTGTACAAATTCAATTATCAAGCAGAAGTAGTCTATACTTTAAATACCCTTGGGTAGGTATGTCATTTAAAGTGTTACGGCGAGCATACTTTTATTTTCTTTTCGTTTATTTTCTCTTTCTACCTGCTCTCAAATGGTCTGTATAATATACATAGCCCTACTTACAAAGACAATGTACACTATTAGGCCTACAGTATTTGTAAACGAAGTAAAGGCCTCACCAAACTAATGTCATTAATTAATGTTAAATCTAAATCATAAATCAAAATGAAATTTACCTAGAAGTGATTGGCCTTTAGGAAAAATGTGACTACCGTACCGCATTCTCGATTAGTTTTGCTAATTGTTTATACGAAGGAGGAAATAATTAATTAATATTTCCTCCATGTTTATAGTTAGTTTAACACATATATATTTATATATATATATAGGCTATATATATAGGCTATATATATATATATATATATATACATATATAGGATATATAAGCATATATATACATGTAGGGGCCTATGTATATATACATATATACGTATATATATATATATACATATGTAGGCCTATATACAAATATATATATATATATGCATATATATAGGCCAATGCATATATATAGGCCCTATGCTTTATGCCATGTTCGTAGGATATATAGCTGTCTCTTATACACATCTAGATGTGGATAAGAGACAGGACTAATATATCGATGTCATTTTAAAGCGCATCGGAAATAACTGCTGTTCTGCATAAAGGCCGTGAGGTATAATTCGCAAGCGTTCGGAGTTTTTACGAGCCTGACTAGTGGCTACCATCTTTGACAAATACAGTAGTTTATGTGCCCGTAAGATAACTTATTCAAGAAATCACTATAATGTATGCATCAACCATCTCCCTGCATTAACAGTAATCTTTAACAGTTATAGTTGGTCGGTGATTAAAATTAACTATTAAGGAGATGAATAATTGGATTTAGACATCATCAAGAATTAACGTCGTTTTAACGATACAGAACTTGTTCGCGTTTTTGATATTTGTACAAATTCAATTATCAAGCAGAAGTAGTCTATACTTTAAATACCCTTGGGTAGGTATGTCATTTCGGCACAGATTTTCTATTCCTCGTGTCAAACAAATTAGCAGCATGCAACCCAGTTAAGCCCAAGCACATCTAAAGTAACGACTGTATCTAGCCTGCGACACGTTCCCCGGAAATATGTAGATTTGTGTCTTTACTTTTTAAATATATTAACGTAGGAATAAACAGAAAATATGCACTACTCCAGCTCTCAAGGGAAATGATTATTTCGTGTCATTCCTGCCCCTTGTTTCCTTAAACCCTTCCCAAAATGTTAACAGTTGCTTGATGCTTACGGGTTTGTTTATAATTCGTTGAATATGAAAGTCTGAAAATTTTGTGAGTAAAATGTAATTATTGTTTTAATTACGCGTAAAACTAGCATTCTTTTTCAGAAACGATTGATAGGAGTGTGTTTTGCCGCAAACATATTAATATAGAAATAAGCATAGCCCCAGTCCTCCCCTTAGCCTGTAAACGCAATGATAATTTATGGTTAGTTCAGATATAACTTCGAAATGATTCTTGATAAGTTTACCTTCTGTGGAAAATTTTAAAAGTGTGACAATTACATGCAGCGTGGTCGTGTTGTTTTATAACATCCGAAGTATATATGACCGTGGAGGAATAAATAATTATTATTTATTCCTCCATGATATGACTGTGTTCCAGATTGCTATGATATGTGAGTGGATATGTTATTTCTGTTATATAGGCCAGTTATCATACAGGCCTATGCACTGTATTTGAAGTTTAAACTTTCTCATGTTTTCACATGGTAATTAATTATCTTTAACCCCAATCATTCTGTTATTGAAGAGGTGAACGGCTATACTAGAACGCGGATAGCCTCATAATAGGTAGCTTTCGATTGCATGGATACTGCAAGATCTAGAGCATAATGACGTCACATAATAATCGTCTACAAAATAAGCGTTGAGTTCTGGTTCTCCTCTTAATTCTTGGGCATAGTTTTTGGACTGCATCTATCTTGCAGGACGCCAGCAGTGAATCCGTCCAAGATTCGCGTGGTCATCACGTTCGAAATCTCATTCCATAGTGCTTATATAGTTAGGCCTATAACGTACCATTTTCGAACTCACTTTATTTGTGCAGGAATATTAGATGTCTTGTAGCACTATTCAAATATTTAGCACACTGTGAGCAAATGTTTCTTTCAAGACTTCAACAACAAAATGCTTACCTAGTTCTTACCTCATTGGAAAACAAATTATTAATAATTTTCCTACTGTAATATTGAACTACATTGAAAATTATGGTGATGATGCCAATGGCGATGATAGTATAGGGCTAATGATGGTGATGGTCCATCATTAGCCCTATACCTCTGAACACAATTTAAAAAAAATAGAAAATAAAAAAAAACCAATTGAATTCAACACGTATACAATCAACAAAATGTCTTACTGAATCTTCCGTCATCAACTTGTCAAGCTGCTTAAAGATGTTCACAAACGTAGGCCGTCTGCCAGGCTCCTGATCCCAGCATTGTAACATGACGTCATACCTAAAAATCAAGAATAATCATGTTTTAGGTACTGTAACTCAAGTGGTAATTTACCTTACATTTTTAGGCCTTATTTGCAAAAAGTGTGACGTCAAGTAGGCCTATATTTTTAATAGAATGCAAAGTTAAGTAGGCCTATAATAAAGAAGTATCGACAATGCGGCACAGATGAGGACAGTAAGTGTCAAATATGTTTTTGTAATAATAATAGTTTTAATAAACACTTAATTGACTGACCATTTTTAATTACTCTAATTAGATCTGCCTCATAATCGTTTTAGTCGGACGTTATCATTTCGAAAACAAACCATACATGCACGCCCATCAGAGAATAATTCTCAATGGTCTAACAGGTTGTACACATGTATAAATGATTACTCAATCTTTTTCTATGATTAATCTGTCTAAAACTGGAGCATCACAATTCCCATTCCGGATGAGGAAACCAGATGGGCACACATTACAATTACAATACTCAGATCGAGGGTTAATTCAACATCATGTACACTAATTAATGTAGGCCCCCCTAGACTACAATGTCTATCTCTGTACAGTATGATAGTCTATGCAAACTACCCTAAACACTTTCAATTCTCTATTCAACATCGATATAATATAATTTTTTCAAGTCATCTTTTCCTGTATTTCAACAAATTATAGTCATCGGAGAAAAGAAGCATGGATTTCGACATTTGAAATACGTCATTAAAAAAAATATCACAGTGCAGATGTTACTGTTGCAGCGAATCTGTGTCTCACATCGAATCGTGGGATTTAGTAAATTGCACAAAAACCTCTGTTTCTATACTGATAGTGAGTGACATGTACCCAGTAGCCTTCATGGTATGTGCCAGGTAGGGCGTGTATTTGTAGAAGCATGTAGAAGTTACCCTCGAGGAAAGTTCAGCATGCGACTCGCCAGGAATTATGTACGCCATATATATATATATATATTAATAATAATAATAATAATAATAATAATATTAATAATGATAAATAATGAGGATGATAATAATAGTAATAAATAATAATAATAATAATAATAAATAATAATAATAATAATAATAATAATAATAAAAGCTTACTATTATTATAATGCTTTATTATTTAAAATTTCTGTAGGCCTACTTATGACTTCAGTGATGCGAGGCCTCTGCCTAACACCGCAACACCAAGTGAAAGAGGCTTTTCAGTAAAAGAAAATAGAAGAATAAATAATGAACCACATTTCTCTTATCATTTCTAGGTTTATATTCATATTCAGAGAGTGTACATCTCAATATTAAACACATACTGAGTAATAATTTTTGAGAGTATAGGCCTAAGCCAACATCGTTGCTTTGAAGCCAATTGCCAAAAATGTCACAGTTAATATCAATATATATGGTAAATGTCTCAATAAACGGGTATGACGGTTTAGTATAAAAATGTCCATATCCTTTAAAGGCTACTATTTGCACACTTATTGACAAACAAGCGAGTAAGATAACTATCAATATTGAAATAAATGTCTTCCTTTGAGATACTCCAGCTTCATTTGCATTTTAGAGGTTTTAGATTCTATTAATTTCGATGTTGACCTTGTCTTGATCAATATCAATCTATGTAGAGGATTAATTATTATAGAGTACCTATGTTAAAGGTTCATCCAGTCACTCTGAGTTTATAGTCAATTTTCAACCATGTCTATTTTATTTCTTCGTAACTATTTATATACCAGTACAGTAGGTCTAAGGATTTCAATAACCGTTCAGTTATGGTAATGGTCGTCACATTCAAATAAAGACTGCTCAGGCCTTATTGATTAACTATTCACGTCACAGCTTCAACATCATTACATGGAGCCAACTGACGGTTAGCTATGCCTGTCTTCTTAGTACAGTATATACACATATTAGACCAAATTATGTGTTAATTGCTAGAACATTTGATACAGTTGTTTCTTTTATGCATATTAGAAAATATGATGTTCAACAGTGTCCTCCCCCACCCCAACGTCTACCTATCTTGTCGCGGATACATGGCTCACTTATCGAGGAGCTCAACACAAGTCGTCGAGAAGAAAAAAAAAACAAGTACTGTAGATGCTCTCAGGTCTATAGATTATGTAACTTTAAAATCGATTAAATTACCCTCTCAAATCCCATTGTTGAAGCATCTAAATGCATCTCAACTTGCAGCCCTCTGAGGGGTTCTGGGAGGCCACTGGCCCCGTACACTTCGCTCCCGTCGGGGACATCGGCCCACTATCGGGCAAATCCTGGCGTCACCAATGGTTATGTTTTCTGTACTATTTTTGCTGCCAAATTAGTGTCTTCCTGCAATTATGCCTAATCCCAGGTTATCCCTGTTTTTAAATCCCAGAGATTCGTATAAACAAAGTAGTAATTAGAACTAGAGTGTGTTAGCGTACTTAACTTCCAAAAATATTATTTGCTGAGGAAGATAATCGAGTCACCGAAACACGCTTCAGTCAGCTTATTTAAAATTCTGTCCACACAAGGTTTGTGCGATGTGCCCATTTATGGGCATGATGCTGTCATAGTACACCCAAATGTGGGTATATTACACCCAAATATGGGTATATTACACCCAAATATGGGTATACTACATTAATAATTTGTCACGTAATATTTGATAGTGTGGACAGTGTAGCCTCGTCTCGTTGTTATACGTTCAGCTGCCTCATACTTTTGTAAACAAACTTGAAGCCCTCTTGTTGAGGACATTTTAAATATTTTTAAAAAAATTAATAAATTAATATTTTTTTAAATATATTGTAACAATAAAATACACATAACGTTCACTTATTTTTTATATTTTAATTGTTCTCGAATTGTTCAAAAATAAATATATTGGTAAGTTAATCGACGGATCAATTCTAAAACTTCCAAAAATATGCAATATATTCCATCATTTGACGACGACTTGGCCAAAGAAGTCATTCACCTTATATAACTGTACAAATCGCGATTATTTACCCTCAATAGACTAAAACATACTCGAGGGACGGGTACAGTTATAATAGAGTGTTGTCGGTAGATTGTATGCTGACTGTTAAAAACTTTTGTCGAATAGTTGATTACATCGATTTCCCCCTTGCAACTGTTTTCAATTGAGTACGATTAGCCGTGTTAATTCGTAGTGACACTCTGATCGTGTTGAGGGTTTCGGCAGTCTTGCCTTGATTGGCGAATATTGTCATGGTTAATGGTTATCAGAACCATAAAATTGTATGAATACAGATTATAATAACTAAATAGAAAGATAATTGAACACGCTTTTAAGGTGGTAGTTGAATTTTGGAATTCTCTTATTGTTCTCTTGTCTTCAGTTGAATTATTGAAATGAAAATATGCTACGCATCTTTTTTATAATTATGAGTAAACATTCGACGTATGCTTTAAAATAGCCTTACAAATAAAAGATATAACACTACGTTTTTAAACAGCAAATATTAGTATATTTAAACAAATTATTGATAATAAATGTAACGTATGACTATTGCATTGGTTAAAAAAATTAAAACTTTGCTTTATTGTTGGAGCCGGTCGGTATACACATAGGCCTACATTAGGCCTAGTAATGTTTTCCTCTAATTCCCTAAAATTGGACCTACTCCAGGTCTACGTATGCCTACAGTGTATAGCACTGATACGATCATCTATTTCTATGATGTGGTTATTCCAAGTGGTTCAATTTATAAATACCAAAGTCTACGTTCGTATCTTAAATTTCATTGTAGTAGGGCCTATAGGACTATCATTTAACGGAGTACTACCGTGTCATGTTATTCGTAATATGACTGTAATTTTGAGTATCTTGTCACTTTGAGCATTTATGTAATTTTGAGAATCATCTGATTTTAAGTACCGGTATTATGTCATTATTAGAAAAAACATAATAGGCCTATATGCTATTTTAATTATAAGTTATTAATACGGTATCTATCGTTTTGGGTAGCCGTTTTAAAAATGTTGAGTAGACTCTGCTATGCAATTTTGAGTTAAAGATGTACGGTAATGTCCCTTGAAAATGACCAAAATCATAAAAAAATAATTTTTAAATTAACTTGCTCATTTTGCAGTAACATACAAATTATTAACTTGAGCATAGAAATGATTTAATTAAAAAAATGTATTTCCTGATTTTTTAACTGGATAATTATAATAAAGATAATAAAACACTTCCAGTATCTGGAAGTGTTTCTATCATTTTTTCGTTGTAAAATGATGGTTCTTATGGGTATGCATTTTTTAAAATTTCTATGTTCAAGTTGATAATTTTTATGTTACTTCAAAATGGGCAAGTAAATTTCAAAAATGATTTTTATGATTTTTCTTTTTT